TTTTCAGGGACTCAGAATGTTCACTGAGGTCTCATAGTCTTGTATTTTCCTCTCATGGCTTTTCTCTTCTCTTCTCAAGGCTTTTCACATCTTCATTCCTTGTATATTCTTCCCCAAAGCAGAATCCAAGTTGTAGTTCTTTTATTTCACTGGGTTTCCAAGACAAAGAGATTTAACCGACATTATCAAAATACAGCCCTGTTTGGGTTGGTCATTGCGCTTAACGATTTGTTAGGGGTAATTTGAATTTTAACGAATGAAAGAAAGCAAAGACCCTATGTGAAAAAATAGACCTATTTTTGTTTCATCCATCCATCCATCCATCCATCCATCCATTTACTCATTCATTCCCAGTTTGCTTTCCAACAGAAAAATTAGACCAGAAAGTTTGGAAAATCACAGACATGCCTTGGGATTTTATAGACTCAGAGAAGATGACAAAGGGGAAAGCAGATCACTCCATCATTCCCGAAGTTCTTCCCCTTTCCCTTTGTCAATTCATTGCAGGTTTGAATATACTAATGTGCCTAAGCTGTCGACTGGTGAATTTTAAAACAGGAATATTTGTTTCAGCCCCGGATGAATATTGGTGAGGACACACACCTTTTTTGCACTTTTGGAATATAATTTGAAGTTTGTTTAAAATAGTAAATTTGAAAACATTTCCAGATTTTACGTTTTACTTGCGTTTCTTTTGTATTTTTTTTTTGTGCCTTAGAATTACCCTGTTCTCTTTATTTGAAAAGTTAGTCAAACTTAGTCTTTTTATACTCTATTGCTCAGATTTGAATTTGTCAGGCAGGAAGTTGACCCAAATACAAAATTATTTTTGTCCTAATACAAATTAGCCATACCCCCTGAGTGTAACCTAATGACAATTTTTTCATTTGGTCAGAAGAATAGGAATATTTCAAATTTCAATTTTATAGTACTTTTTGGAACTTAATACTATTACTTGCTAATGCTATAAAAAGGACTCTGGAATATTTATACTAGCTATAAAAGCAAATTTACTGGAACACAATTTGTGAAATAATTCAATGTTATACTGACTCTCTTTTCTATTGTTGCTTCTAGGCCGATTGGCTTTAGTAGACTAACACAAGGTTTAAAAATCACTGATGAACAAATGATACTGGTAAAACTGTATATCCACATGCAAAAGAATGAAGGTGAGGGCTTACTTTATACCATACACAAAAATAACTCTAAATGGATCAAAAACTCAACATAAGAGTTAATAAAACAATAAGATTCTTAGAAGAAAACATAGTGGAAAAGCTTATGATGTTAACTCAGAGCCAATGATTTCTTGAATATGACATCAAAAACATAGGTAACAAAAAAAATCAGATAAATTAGATTTCTTCAACATTAAAAACTTTTTAGGACTTCCGGCCAAGACAGAGGCATAGGTAGACATACCTTGCTTCCTTGCACAACCAAAAAAAGGACAACAACAAATTTAAAAACAAAAAATAACCAGAAGTGCCAGAAAATCAAACTGTATGGAAGTCCGACAACCAAGGAGTTAAAGAAGAAACATTCATCAAGACTGGAAGGAAGGGTGAGAGGACTCTAGGCAAGGTGGCAGCTGGAAGAGCCGGTGGTCCCACATCTGTGTGCAGATAAACTGGGAGGAACAACTGGGAAGCCAGACAAACTGCACAATCCAGGGTTCCAGTGTAGAAAAACGAAGCCTCAAACCTCTCACTGAAAACACCTATGGGGGTTGAGGCAGCGGGAGAAACTCCCAGCTTCATGGGTGAGTTCATTGGAGAGACCCACGGGGTCCTAGAACATACACAAACCCACCCATCTAGGAATCAGCACCAGATAGGCCCAATTCACTTGTGGGTAGCTGAGGAAGTGGCTGAAAGCAGACAGAGAGCTGAACCAGCAGCACTGTTCCTTCTCGGACCTCTCCCCCACATACAGCATCACAAAGCAGCTACTGGGATGCCCCCGCTGGTGAACATTGAAGGCTCCACCCCTTACTATGTAACAGGTGCGCCAAGACAAAGAAATATACGGGGCAGAGGGGAATAAAGGGGAGAAAAAATGAGACAGCCGTAATAGCATAATCAATAAAATATACTTAAAAATTTTTATATACATCAAAGGACTATCAGTGGGGTAAAAAGGCACTTCCTAGAGTGGGGGTAAATATTTGTAAATCATGTGTTGATAAGGGATTAATATCTAGAAGATATAAAGAACTATTGTAACTGCAAAACAAAACAAAACAACCTGATTAACAAACAGGAAAAGGACTTGAATAGACATTTCACCAAAGAAAATGTACAGAAGACTAGTGAGCACTTGAAAAGATGCTCAACATCGCCAATCGTTAGGGAAGTGTCAATCAAAAGCACAATGAGATATCACTGAACATTCATTAGAATGGCTCTTACAGAAACAAGAAAACAAACAAACAAACAAAAATTATCACCATTGTCCAGAATGCAGAGAAACTGGGGTCCCTGCGGATTGCTGGTGCAAATGTAAAATGGTGCAACTGTTGTGGAAAACAATATGGAGGTTCCTCAAAAAATTAAGCATAGAATTACCACCCTATGATCCAGCAACTCCACTTTTGGATTTATCCTCAATCGCGTTAAAAGGAGAGACACAGCGAGAGATTTGTTCACCATGTCCATGGCATCATTATTACAAATAGCCAAAAAGGGGAAGCAACCCAAGTGTTCATCAACAGAGAAATGGATAAACAAAATATTCTATAGATACACCATAGTGGAATATTATTCAGCCTTTAAAAAGCGATAAAACTCTAATATATGCTTGAAGACATTACACGAAGTGCAATTAAAGGACAGGCGTCCCACGATCCTGCTTACATAAGGTACCTGAAATAGTGAAACTATTAGAAACTCATAGAGACAGAAAATAGAATCGTGGTCACCAGGGCTGGGGAAGTAGGGAGTGGAGAATCATTGTTTAATTGCTACAGAGCTCCAGTTTGAAGCAGAAGGCAGTAATGGTTGCACAGCAATCATAAAGTAAGTAATGTCACTTAAAAACGATAAAAGTGGTAAATGTTGTATTATGTATATTTTAGTGCAATAAAAAGTATCTCCTCTTACAAAGATCACTGAACCAACTAATTATTTAGAGAGAGAGAGAGTACCAGGCCACTCTGCTATAGGCCATTATCCTCAGTTTTCAGATTTAATCTTTGTGGTTGTGTCATGTCACAAATGCTAGAGTCATGCTTGGGAGGATTTCTACCAATCGCCTTGCATGCCAATAGCAGTAACATTTACCATTCATGGCTTGTCTGTCAGGTGACAAGGTGACTGTATTCATTATCTTAAAGCCTCAGTATAACTTATGAAGGGGATGTTGTCGTCCTGAGGCTTAGTGCTTCTGGAACTTACCCAAGGTTAAACAGTTCACCGCTCTCTTCCCTTGAGCCTGTCGCTGCTCCTGGCGTGGCGATGGGGAATGAACAGGAGGGAGGAGGGGGAGGGCATTGGGACAGACAGACAGACAGATGTTTTTCCTAAGAATTATCTGTGTGTGTGCATGGGCGGCAGAGAGAATCATTTCAGTTTCTTTGTAAATAAACTAAGCTGACCTGGTCTTTTATCCATCATTCCACTGTTTTTTTTTTTCCCCTAAATAAACCCCTGGGAAATGAACCCAGGAGCTGCCACGGTGGCGGCGGTTGTGGGAGGCGCCCCAGGGCATGCACGAGCGGCCCAGGGGGAGACAGCAGTGAAACGCTGGGCGAGGACGCAGACCCACACCTCGGAGTTATTAGCTGGCAGGTATGTGTTGTGTATCCACAACGAGGTCAGCAGAATAAATGAGCAACCCAAGTTTTAACTACAAAAAGGGAACCAGGAAGCAATACCCTTTTCTATTCTTTCCTATTAGGCCCCAGGGGACAGGAATGTCCGCCCAGCTTCTCCAGGTTCTCTTGACAATGAATGGGGTTCAGTGTGATGATCTGAAAGTCTGGCCAGTGCCCCGGAGGACTCTTTGCCTTACATGCCCCTTTCCTTGAATCTGTGGGGTGCCTTGGCAGGGAGCATGAGAGGGTGGGGGGCAGATAGACCCCACCACACTAGGACTTCCCTTCTCAGGCGTCCGCGACTCCCAACCCCAGTCCAGGCCGAGCCGTGTCGTGCTCAGCAGCCGGGAGATCCTCATCGCAGAGCTCGGGGTTCGTGGGCACCCGGCGTCCTCACGCTTCCTGGTCCACTCGGGTGTCCACGGGCGGGGAATCCTCCGGAGCTCTCCGGGCTATTTTACACCCCAAGGGGCCCAATGGCTTTATTTTTAGAGGATCATCTCTATATCAGACCTAATATACTAAAATGCACCCCCTATCTAATAAGCTTTTTCTTTGTTGTTAAAAAACTTGAAATTTACAAAATTTAAAAAAAAATGTGTTTGCCAATAAGCAGTTCATTTACTGTGATCTCTCAGCAATCAGGTGCATTCTTGAGAATTTCCAGAGTGAGAAAAACTAGCTTCAATTGTTTAATAAATGCATGAAATGTTTATTCATGAATGGGAATGACAATTAATGGACTCAATGTGATACATGCTGTTGACAATTAAACATTTATCAACTTAGATTTTGCATTTTTCCTTTTGTACTTTGAGCCTTTCTTTAAAAAAAATTCTATAATTATTTTTAGAGAGAGGGGAAGGGAAGAAGAAAGAGAGGGAGAGAAACATCAATGTGTGGTTGCCTCTCACATGGCCCCCACTAGGGACCTGGACTGCAACCCAAGCATGCGCCCTGACTGGGAATCGAACCTGCGATTCCCAGGTTCACAGAGTTCCACGCTCAACTCACTGAGCTACACCAGCCGGGGTTGAGCCTTTCTTTTTTCCTTCCTTCCCTCCCCCTTTGCTTTCCTTCCTTCCTTTTTTTTCTTTTGTTCTTTCAGTTATCAGATCTTTTGAAAGATCTCGGGCCTTAACTCCCATGCTAGCCAATGGATAAAACAGTGCAACTGGCTCCCTTGAAGTTTCTTACATGTAGCTTTATTTTAAACAACTCATAAGGGTAGGTATTACATTGGATCATATAAATCACTGTTTTCATTTCTCTGTCTTTTTTTTTTTAGTTAAACATGACAATTTAATCTATTTGGTTACAAATCCAATAGACTTTTTCCCGCGGGCAGGTCGAGTTAAACTGGAGAGCTAAGACCAATGGGCAGCGGCTGTGCCTGTAGTAGGTGCTCAGTAAGGACTTGCCGAATGAATGCATGCATGCACATACAAATTAAGGACCAAAAAAGATGAGCCTAAATAAACAGAAACGAAACTGCACGGCACAGACTGTGGTAGTGGAACTAGCAGAATATGTTCGTCCTACAAAGCACTTTGGCAATTGCTTTAGTCTTTTTAACAAACATTCTCCTTTCAGTTTAATTTTGTTTTGTTAGCAAGTAATTGGCATTGCCTGTGGGAGCAAGCAGTCCTGGCATATCTCACTTGCTGCCTCTCCTCCTTAGTGCAAAGAAAAATGGAAGCATCACAGGAGCTGAAGGAGGAAAAGAAGCATCGTGGCTCTAAGAGAGGAGACTGCAGAGGTTGGTAGAAATTTCGTGAAGCATGTTGCTTTTCATTTGGCAGCAAGGATGATCTCCATGGGCAGCATCTTCAATCGAGAGTCCTTCCTTGTGGTCCCAGAGAAGCCAACAACTCTATTCTTCTCCAAGTGACATTTCTAGAGAAAACAGAAGATGGTCAAACCTTAAGGATTCCTAGGACTGCAACTTTGGGTCCATCCGCCCATCCATTTACTGATCCCCCTCAGCCTGTTATGTACCGCGTTGGGCCAGATTCTGTCTAGGTACTGGGGAGAGGATAACATTTAAGATACCAGATGCATTTCTGAACTAGAGGGGCTATTCATCTTGCGTAGGGAGAGTAAATGTGACTAGTGATAGAGGAGAAAAACAGGTAGGAAATGCAGGTCCTGCATACCAATAGCATGGATTTGGGGAGGATACAAACGCTCTTTGGATTGCAAAGCATCAGGGTGACACTTAAGATAAATGAGACACAGAACTGTCAGATTAAGTCACCCCCAAATACATATTATTGTTCCTAATGACACAAATCACTTGTTCTCACTTGGAGGATCTTTTCGTTTGCTGATTTCACAGGCAACTCCCTCGTATGTGATCGGGCAAGTGCACATGCATTGTCCATCCAGCTGAACCACGGTGCCCCCGTGTTGGCATGGTTGGCATTTTTTTGCACTGTATTCATTGACATAATCTTCAATGGCTCTTTCCAAATTTTCTTTCTTTTGATCTGCCCCTTTCATTGTCAATGGAATCAGATTATATATAGGAGACAGCTGCAAGAAAGCAAAACATTTCAATGTAGGTCCTTTTCTACTGATGGAGTTTCTAACACTCTTCACAGAATTATTTGTTCATTAATCAACTAATTTGGCAAGGGCTTAGTGAAGGATGGTTATCGCCGGATATGATTTTAGCCTTTAAGACTATACTAGTGATGAAAATTAGTCATGATCTCTCTGGTCATGGAGATGACATTATGGAAGTAAGGAGACTGGTATTGAAATAATCATATAGATACATTTAAATGGGAACTGCGATATTGCTATAAAGGATGGGTGTATGTGTTTTAAAAATGAGCAATCATGGGTTTCAGCTTTCGGCAGTATAATTTATTGGCACACTATTTTCTGGGGTGTTTTTGTGTTCCCCCCTCCTCTCCTCTTTCAGAATACAGCCAGGTGTTGGTCTTGTTCAAGAGGAAGGTTGTGGGCAAGGCCAAGTCCAGAATGCCCTGAAAGTCAACTCTTTCTTGATGTATTTCTCTAAAAGCTTGAACTCATTGGGAAATTGTTGCTGGGAAAAGTATGAGAAAAATGCCAGCGAAGGAGGAAAGTCTTCTCCACCAGGAAGGGGACAGGGGTAGCATGTACCTCAAGCAGCAGGAAAGCGTCATTAGACCCCTACCAGTTATTTTGGCCTGGGAGGCTGGGAACCGCCTGACTTCAGGTGAGCGCGTGAACGCAATCAGCAAGGTTGCAGGGGGACCACAGGGGACCGTACGCATACGGATCTCACATCCCTGTTTCCCTGACAGAAGCATCGGGATTCTTGTATTAATTTCAGCAACATGGAAGAACTGCCCTGCATTCCATCCAACACATGAAATTTTCCTTCCTCCATGGAGGGATGGGATCTTGAGGTCAAATTTAAGTAGACTTAAAGAAAATGAAGTAAAATGATTTATTTTGCACACTTAAATTTCTGGAGTAAGACGCAAAGTTGCTACAGCTGAACCAGGGAAGTTTGGACAGGCTTTCCTGAGAAAATGACCACTAAGCTGAGATTCGAAGGTGTTAAGCAAGAAAGAAGAGTGTCGTAGTCATACAGTGCAGAATTCAGAAAGTTTGTATAGTGGAGATGCCCTTGCTTCTTGGCCTTTCGGCTAAGATCAAGTGCATAATGGAGGTACCATAACATATATGAAAACTTGGAACATATGTGCATTAAATGTAAGCAAATTTAATTACGTGATATAAATAACAGTTTGAGTGAAAGAATTGTAACAAAGTGAGGCTCTTTGGTGGCATAACATTTAAAAAAAAGAGACCCCAAAATTTAAAAGAAATTGGAACCTAAAGATTCAAGAAAGAACATATAAAATATATACCAGGAATTCCTGCAGAAGAGTGATACAGGGTAAATATTTTCCACTAATCCTTTTACTAGGCACAAGGAGAAAGCTGAACCAAATAAAACCAAAATGAAAAATCTGCTTGAAGGCCCTGAAGGATGAACAAGGTGACAAAAAAAGTGACAAGGTAATAAAGATCTGGAAGTCGATGGAAATTCAGTGAGGTGAGCCCAGTGTCTTGGGGCCACCAGTCCCCTTGGCATATTTCTAACTGAGGAAGAGGCAGTCAAATGGCTAAGTGGCAGATAGAACGTATTACTGGCCTCGTGGGGGAAAGGTTGGAATTCAGGACTGATGAAGGGTCCCAACCCAAAGGACTATGGTCCCAGAAGCAAGAGGCAAGTGGAAGTAGCGTAGCCCTGGTAAAGACTGTGTCCTGGTTTGGGTTAAAATAATCCTGATTTCTTAGTCCTCTGAAGCTTTCCAGATGTAAATATATATTTCCTTGGGAGGAAAATAAAATCATCTCAGGTCTCACGCTACTTCTATGACAATTTTTAAAGTATAATCTCCAGCCCACAATAAGAATAACAAGGTACACAAGGAAACAAAGCAGCATGATTGAAAACCATAGAAATAGTAGAAATTGGAGGGATTCACCAAAGAACTGATATGTGTTCCCCATAGACGCAGACAACAAGGTGGTGACAGCCAGAGGGAAGTGAGGATGGGGTTGGCGTGGTAGCGGGCAAAGTGGTGGGGGGGTAATGGGGACATCCGTAATGGTGTCAACAGTGAAAATAAAGTAAAAGAATAAAAACATAATAGAAACTGGAGACAGAGCAAGAGGGGATGAGCAGATTTAAGTTATCAGACATAGATTTTAAATTAATTTCCTAAACAGGGGGATAAGACAAGCTTGCGAATGCTAGCAGAGAACAGGAAATTCTGTTTTTAAGTGGAAGGCCTGACAACATAAACAGATACAGGAGAACTGGATACCATAATAAACAAATTAGTGGGCGGGTTCCAGGACAGACATGACACAGCTGAAGGAGGGTCAATGGCCTGGAATGTAGGTCAGAAGAAAAATGGTCGACAATGAAGTATGAAAAGATAAAAGTTTGGGAAATACAGAAAAAAAAAGGCAGAAAACATAAAAAAGTGAGAAGGTAAAAGATGTATATAATTTCAGTCCCAGAAAGAGAGAATATATAAAAAGAAATTTTGAAGAATAACAGCTGACAATACTATAGATGTGGTGACAGACATCAAGATACCCCCCGTAATGAAGAGCAAGATTAAACATTTTTTTTTGCACATAGGCACGTCAGAGTAAAATTGCTAAAAAATAAATCAAGAAAACCCACAAACAATGATAATGAAGAAAATCTTAAAAGCAGCTTAGTAAAAACCCACAGTACTTTGAAAGTAGACTGACATTTGACTTTCATAGATATAAAAAATATGCCACCAATCAGTACTACAATTTAAATTGTTCTAGAATAAAGAGAGAGCCATAGGAAGTTTTCTTTTAAAGTGACTTTCTAACTTATACACACACACACACACACACACACACACACACACACACACACATAACTCCAGGCTTATTGTAGGTAAAAATATAAAAGCAAAACAGTCAAGCATCTGAAGGTAACATATCAGAGAGCATCTTTAAGACCTTGAGGTAGAGAATGACTTTAAACAGGACACAAAAGCACTAACTGCAATGGAAAGAAATATACATTTAACTATATCAAAATAAAAAAAAATCCATGTGATAATTCCTGATAGCAGGCACCGAGAAGGACGCAACATTGCCTTGGGGTCTTCTTACTAAAAATACACAACCTTAATCTACTCTGAGCCTAAACTGAGAGACATTTGATGCCTGTGACCAATGCTTATCAAAAGTGTTAAGGTCGTGAAAGACAAGAAAAGTCTGGGGAATTGTCATAGACTGGAGGAGACTAGAGGGGCAGGATGCCTAAATGCAGCGTGAGACCCTGATGGACCCGGGACAGAAAAGAGGACAGTGGGGGGGGGGGGAACTGGTGGTATTTAAACAGGGTCTGTGGTTTAGTCAACGTCAATGTTCTGAGTTTGCTAAAAAGCACCATGGTTACGTAAGTTGTTAGCATTTGGGCTCCTGGGTTTGGGGTGTATGTGAACTCTGTGCTGTTTTTGCAGTTTTAACATCTGTACTATTTGTGCAGTTTTATGCTAAGTCTAAAAGAATTTCAAACCAAAAGGTAAAAAAGAGGACATCAATGATCAAAAACACCATTAAAGGGTGAAAGCCCCCAAGTGAGAGGAGACATTTCTCACACTTTCAAGGGGAATAGTCTCGCATCCAGAACACGTCAAGAACCTCTACAAAGTCAATGACTGTCCGCCAGCATAGCCCTTTATGGGCTGGTGCGTAGGAGATGAACTTCAGCTATGTTGTATTTACTTGGGAGAAAGAAAGCACTTACCAACGTTGCCACGTTGGCACAAACAGTGTAAGCATGTGGTGGAGTTCTTTTGATTTTTAAGAAAAGAAATTCATCTTGTTTTACCCTTCAAAGGAAAGTCAAGGCCAGATAATCTAAGATATACAGGAATAAGGGGGTCATGGAGACAAGACAGTTTGGATGAAATGCATAAGCAGTGATCAAAGAGACCGAGATGAAGGGTATGTAATGACAGCAGCCTTAGAGCAACCTCAAACCCCAGAGTCGAAGAATCCCACAGGGAGGCAAACAGCGGTTCCAATGCACTTGGTGGAGTTTCCCTGAAGAGCCACGTCTTTTTTCTGATGAATTCTGGCCTTCTGTTAAGTAAGAAAATACTTACAAATTTTCTCCTCCTCTCACTAACCCTATCATTCTACCATTTGCAGGTAGATGTATTTTCAGTGAATGCAGTTGATCATGAAACTTGCTAAAAGACAACATAGTTTAATCTTAAGTACCTGGGATATTATATTAAGTATTATATTGTTATACTAAGTGTTGAGGTTTCTTATGGGCTTCCAAACTAACTAAAAGTATATGCACCAAATGCAGTTTGTTGATAGGATGAGTTATTTCCGTCCCTATACAAGACAGTTGGGAAGGATTTTCACTCTGTGGTTAGAACTCTAGTGACTGTGGCACAGAGCACGGCAGCCCTTTAAAATGCTGATGCTCTCCAACATTTGGTGCATCATTGTCAAGTTGCACAAAAGAACAAAAAGTCGTAGGTTAATGGGTTCATAATTACCCACGTTGTTCCAGAAAGACGTGTGGGCAAGTCAGAGTGGTGGAGGGAAAAGAAAGGAGAACTGAGAATAGAAAAGGCAAGATGAAGGAAAAAGCCACACAAAAGCCCCAGATTCAGGAGAACCCATCCATGTGCACATGGTGGGTCCCAAATTTGGTTATATTTCCTAGCTCACTGAGTCAGACAACTGAATTTAATGATCACAGGCGTTAAAGAGAGAACTTCCTGATTCCCAAGAGAAACAAAATGATCCTTGAAACTGAGGTTGAGGAGTAGTATCTCCCCTGACTTTTCATAGAGGAGACCTTATGAACTTCCCTTTCCCTAAGGCCTTAATAAATACTTCTCTGTGTCAGGAGTGGTAGTGGGATGCCACCCACAGACCAAGGGCAGATAGAAGACAACTAACAATATCTGAGCACCTATTGTGTTCCAGTCTATGCTACAGGCTCTGCATGTGCAATCTCATTAAATCCTTAGAAGAAACCCGGAGCCCTGGGGAATGTAGTGGTGCAGAAGTCAGAAATGACCACTCATCTGGCGAGGGACAGTGACCCAAGCTCAGCCTGGGTTGGCCTGATGCCCCACTCCTGTGCCTTTCTTCTCTGCCATGCTTCTTTCTGGGGACAAGACAGGCGTGCATTTGAATGCTCACATCTCTTTCAGATGACAGAACCGCTCGTTTGAACCAACAGCTACATGTCATAGGAGAAGGGCAAAAGCTTCTACTTGGAAATGCGCATCCCTTACCCTTTCATTCACGAGCACTGGGGCATCGCTTAAGGAAGATGCCCAGTTGACAAAGTCAGTCACATCCACTGTCCCGGCTCCTCTGGCAAGCTTCTCTTTCAGCTGGATTGCATGTTGTTTGGTTCCTCCTTTGATGAACGAAATGACATTATCGATGATGCTCTCGCTGGTGATGTTTACTAAGAAGAGACGGAGAATGTGAGTCAGGGATTTTGCACTCTGGGATGCTTGGGAAACATTTATTGAGCCCCTTTTGTATAGTCTAATATATTTATTGAGTTTTACTTCTAAGTATTTATGTATGGAACTTTTTCAGCCCAAATCTCCAAGGGCAATTTTTATTAGTCGCTGATTGGAGACTTCAATCATCTTTTTCTTAAAAAAAAAATGGTACCATGGTTGAGATACATGTGTTACTCAAAGTGAATCACTGGTTCATGTGCACACACGAGAACTAAACATGAATTTCAATGTACTATGTAATATTTTTTGTTGCAGAATGGCCTTCATAATTTTATTTTATATTGGTTTGCCTTAAATTATTTTACTATTATAAAAAGTCAAAGGGCACAAAAAAATAAAGGGGAAAGCAAAATTGCTTTCTACTCCGAACGCCTACCCATGTTCTCCCGCAGTCTTTCTCTCCAGAATAAACCACTTTTAACAAACTTCTGCACATCTCTGAGATTTCTGAATTTTTTGAACTGGAAGCAATTTTCAAGGTGATTTTTTGAACCTTCCTCAATTTTGTGGACAAGAAAGCTGAGGCTCAGAGAGTTGGAATGACTAGCTCAAAGTCACACAGTTAGTTTAAGGGTCAAATATTGAAACTATGACATGTGATGGAAAGGTTCATTTTCTTTTCTGTTCATCAGTGGTTTCCAGTCATGGCCACATGTTAGTGGTTGCCATGCTTTAAGAAAATCAGGCTTCTCTATTTTCTGCTTCCCCACTATCTGCAAAGGCGAGTCTTCAACATTTATATTTCAGAAAACGCTCTCAGGTTTCTCTGATTATAGTAAAACTTGAGGATTCCAGCACTGCCTCATTCTAGGGGAAGTAATATTTACACTGAAAGTATTTATATTTTTAAAAGGCTTACGAACTGATTTAATGTAAGGATGGATTAGGGATTTCTTTTTTAAGTTTTTTTAAAATATTTTATTTATTTATTTTTAGAGAGGGAAGAGAGGGAGGAAGAGAGGGAGAGAGAGAAACATCAATGTGCGGTTGCTGGGGGCCGTGGCCTGCAACTCAGGCATGTGCCCTGACTGGGAATTGAACCTGCGATGCTTTGGTTCGCAGCCCACGCTCAATCCACTGAGCTACGCCAGCCAGGGCTCTTTTTTCAGTTTTACTGAAATATAATTGACCCACAACATTGTATCAATTTAACATGTATATAGGCTTGACCTATATGTATTGTAAAATAATTACCACAATAAGTTTATTTAAATACATCATATCATATAGTTACATTTTTTGTGTGTATGATGTGAACTTTTGGGATCCCCTCTTAGTAGCTTTCAAATATGCCACATAGCACTGTTAATTATGTATTGTCACCATGTTGTACATTACATCTCTGATACTCATTTCTCTCATAATTGTCGATTTCTACTGCTTGGCCAGTTGACCGAAGGTGGATTAGGGACTTCAAGTCAGGTGGAAGGCTGAGTTAGAGAGTTTTGGTCTTCTTTCTTAATATACAGTACTGTCACTTGCCCTTTTAGAAGCTTAGTTAAAATTAGAGAAAAAAAAGAAAATTATTTCCTCAAGATATGATTCTACCATGGGCCTCACAAACGCAAAAATCTGTCATGACTGCGGAGGGAACAGCCCCCCAGAACTGCGCACTACACAACCTGCACAGTGGGGGCGCCAGGGAGCACGTGTCTCTGGGCTCCTTGTGTCTAGAGCAATTTGGGAACCGCTGTAAAGAGAACGTAGTTTTTTAACACTTCTGTTTTTTTTTTTTTAATAAATAGGGTAGACAATAAGTGGGCTCATAGTGACAGGGCAGTGCTAATTGACATGTCCATCTTTCCTTCCTTCCTTCCTTCCTTCCTTCCTTCCTTCCTTCCTTCCTTCCTTCCTTCCTTCTATATAGAAGAGAATGGAGGGAGAAGGAGAAGGAGACAAACATCTATCAGTTGCCTCTTGCACACCCCCAACTGGGGACATGTCCCACAACCCAGGCATGTGCCCTGACAAGGAATTGAACTGATGACCCCTCAGTTTGTAGGCCAGGACTCAATCCACTGAGCCACACCAGCCAGGACCCCCTATTTTTTAACTTAATAAGGTAGGCCATACTTACCAGTTTTACCATCACCCCTCTTTACACAATCACTTTTATCAAACTGTGCTCCGAGTTCAACTCCGACATTCACAGATAAATCCACATTATACCCGAGACATCTCTTTACATCCTCTAGTTCAATACCTGTTTAATAGATTTAGTTGAAAATCATTAGATAATATCTAACAACATCATGAATAAATTCTAGTTTTGCTCTTTTGTAAGGAACATACTTGGATTCCTACACATTTTTATTAAACACAAAATGCAAGTTATATCTCTCCTGCTTTGTCCACATAGTCGATGCTACTGGCCTCCATTTGACTCTGCTTGCCAACTTCATGGCAAAGGACATACACATTTACGCCTTGTGTAAGAGGGAGGTAGCTCGTACTAGGGTGCTTATGTTATCATACGTAGTTAGCTCGTTATGAATAAAGGAAGGGTGCACATGGAATCAGACATCAAGCCAAAAATAAACTAGGAAGCTGAATCAGATATTAAGCCTAACCTACTAGGGAGCTAAGTCAGACATGAACCCTCATTCACTAGGAAGCCACAGCATTCACAGTTGCTCCAGGGGGCAGCCGCAGCATCCTCCTCCAAGGGGACATGATCCCTGAGCTGGGCAGGAAGAATCCATGACTGGTCACTAACTGGGATCACCTGGGGAAGGGTCAGAACAGCAGGGGACATTCCTTCGCTCAGCGCACATGCAGTAGAAAGCTTGATGGTGCAACGGAACTTCGGGGCATGTGCGGCAGGAGCCAAAACGGTGACAGAAAAGGGCAGAATCTAGCCTAGGAAAATCTGGGGAAAGCATTGGATTGAATGAGGGTGTGGAACCCCAAAAGGTCCAGGAAAGGAATTTGTTTAGGGGGCCAGCCCAGCACAAGCCTGGGAGAACCCAGGAAGTACGTTGGGTAGCGTGAAGGCAAGCCTGCTCACTCCCCAAAACCAGGAAAATATATGGAGGAGTCTCAAGGATCTCGGAGCAGAGCCTGCCCGTGCCCTCCACATCCCTGAGGACACAGCATCTCCCTTCATCCCAATACAGCTTGCCGCTATGCTCCAGCTTCTCCCATGTGTGCGCCCTTTGAAATTCCTTTCTCGTGTTTTCACCAGCGATGACAGTTACAGTTCTAAGATGAAAGATTTTAGTCCTTGGAGCTTTTCCATCCCCAAACTCGTAACCTGGAGGGTTTCTTGTGTTTTGATCACCCCTGCTGAGCCTTTTTCTTCTGGTTTTCCAGTTACTCAAGACACAGTGCTCATGTGCCCCTGATCCCGTGATAGCTGTCAGTGCAGCTCACCAGGCTGTGCTCAGAGATCTGGCAATGCTATTCTGCAGGCTTGAGCCCTGGGAGGCAGTCTAAGCCAAGAAATCTCACATCGCCCTTCCCCACATGAGGCTTCTTCTGCCTGCCCAAACGAGGCTGAGGCATTAAGAGCAACCGGTGCTGGCTATGACATTTATTTCATTCGTAGCCTGTTTACCAACCACGGGGACAGTGTTTGGCTTTAAGATCACAGATGCGTCCCATTCCTCACTTTATATTGCCAGGGGCTCCAGAGACGGAGCCCTGGAAGTGGTTTGGGGCAACATCTCCCTTCCTCAGAGATGCCCCCTCCCAAATTTTGAGGGCAGAGAGAGGAGATATGCTGACATCGATCACCTCTTTAAGAAATAGAACAACTTGCCCTGGCTGGCGTAGCTCAGTGGATAGAGCGCGGGCTGGGAACCAAAGTGTCCCAGGTTCGATTCCCAGCCAGGGTACATTCCTGGGTTGCAGGCCACGACCCCCAGCAACCGCACATTGATGTTTCTCTCTCTCTCTCTTTCTCCCTCCCTTCCCTCTCTAAAAATAAATAAATAAAATATTAAAAAAAAAGAAATAGAACAACTTGCCATACTGATAAAATAAATAAATAAATAAACTTATTAACATAGGCTTTTGCATCTACTCTGTCCTTAAAAGCTTTCAATAAAGGCTTCAGGCCAGGATGGCAATTACACAACGCACAGGACTAACCTGTACCTACGGCAAACGTGGATGAGCAACTGTGGCCTTCCTTCTGTGATTTCAGGGGTGGTCGGAAGCTACCACCATCTGATTGGAATTGTCATCCTACAAGGTAAAACTCACTTTCTACCCTTGCTTTATTTTTTTCTTTTTTTTTTTTAGATTTTATTTATTTATTTTTAGAGAGGGAAGGGAGGGAGATAGAGAGAGAGAGAGAGAGAGAGAAGAACATCAATGTGCGGTTGCTGGGGGTTATGGCCTGCAACCCAGGCATGTACCCTGGCTGGGAATCGAACCTGGGACACTTTGGTTCCCAGCCCACACTCAATCCACTGAGCTATGCCAGCCAGGGCTTCTACCCTTGCTTTAAATGTTAGAGGTATATGACGTTAACATTGCTTCTTCCCTCCCAAAACTGCAGAATACTTTGGAAGAGAATGATCATATTCAGTAGCCTTGGTTCAATTATTACATAAAAAAATTGAACCAGGCTACTGAATAAGAAATAAGTTATATAAATTATGTCTCTTGTACGTTCTTTGACCTTTTAAATAGGATTTCAGTCAAAACAACTTCACCAAATATTATTAAATAGCAATACAATTTCTGTTGCTGACTAGTTCAAGACCAAGTCCTCTTGTTGGAGGTAGAAGTCAATTTGATGTTTGATAGGGCTTTAGATGCCAAAGGTCAGGGAGAATGTTCTCTCAGGGAAGCAGGTTACATTACTGTATTCTAGAGACTTTAAGCACTGAAAGAGGTTAGCAATAGAAATCATGGTTGGTTAAAACCTTACTAGAAGTTAGACCCCTATTTCCAGGTATACCTTTTTCCTTCATGGTAGCTCTATCCAAAACATATATTAGTTCATACAGTCCTCCTAGAGACCCAGAGCTACTGTAGTGAGTTCCATAGATTTCCAAAAATGCGAAATATTCCCCCTTTTCATAGCTGGTTGGCAGTCTTTTTAAATCATCCATGAAAGTTGGCGTCAGCACAACATTCCGGTTCCTCATCACAAATCTTCCCAGATCAACTTCTCCTTTCACATGCAGAAACATTTTTCCCTTTGTGGTAGACCAGAAAAAAAAATAATATGTGAGTTTAAGCACCATTGTTTCAAATTTAAAAATCACAAAATTTGAAATTTTCACAGGCGATACATTTCTTTAGCAGCGACTGTACGACATCACGTTGCCCCTGGGGAACGGCAAACTTCAATGACCGTTAACACCGCCGTCGACGAGGATGCACAGCAGCTGGGACCCCCTCACACACTGCCGGTGGGAGTGGGGAATGGAGGAACCGCTCTGGAGAACTGTTGGAGTTTCTTATAAAAGTAAACACATAGCAGCAACCCTACGGCCAGCTATCCCACTTTTACACATTTACTTAAGATAAAACAAATGGTCCACAGGAAGACCTGTAAAAGACTGCTTTTATAGCAGCTTTAGTCAGCATAGCTTAAAACTGGAAATGACTCAAATGTCCATCAACAGGGAAATGAATAAACATGTTGTAGTCTAGTCACACGAAGGAATACCAGTTAGCAATAAGAAGAAATGAACTACTGATAACATACAGCAACATAGGTAAGTCAAAAATATTACACTGACTGAATTAAGTCAGACATAAAAGAATATAGACTGTATGGTGCAATTTTTATGAAGTTCCAGAAAAGCTAGCTGAAACTAAGTTATGGTCCGAAAACTCCCATGGTTTGTTGCCTCTCAGGTGATAGGGGACTGACTGCAAAGGGTATGAAGGAATTTTCTTGAGATCATGGAAATGTGCTGTATCTTCTTCGAGGAGGGAGTTACACAGATGGATACAATAGTCAAAATTCATGGAATTACGTGTTTGAAATCTTTGCATTTTATTATATGCAAATTATACCTCACGAAGTTGATCTTAAAATGTTAACAATGGAAGGAGATGTAGACATTATATACGAAGCCCAATCTTTTTCTTTTGCAGGTGAAGAAACTGATCTAAAGGTATCAAGTTCTTGGCTCCAGATGACACCAATAGTCTGGGACAATGGCTGGTACTAAAACCCTGTCAGGTGTCCCTCTTCCTTCTACTCTGTTCTCTCGATCTTTCATAACTGAGACGGAATAGACAATACTTTAAGACATGGATCTCAAGCCAGCCTCACACAGCTCAACTGTTAAATGTTCCCCGGGATGATGGCTTGCGTTACTAAGAGAAAACTGGGGACAGTGATGAACTATGTGACTAAATCTAGACTGTCCTAGCCAAAACCGAATTGAAATTGTCACCCATAAGTCCGTACATTGTTCTTTTGCAATTCTCCTGCTGTGGCTGTGGTTAGCACATGTTGGTTACATGGGAATTAAAAACATTTTATTATTTTTTAAAAGGTATATCTCAGTGTATGTGAACATCACACCAAACTTTCTGTATTATAGAAGCACAATTAGTCACACTGCATGACTTCATTGTAGGTGATAGTGGGTGATTCAGTTTCTAACAAAAATCCTAAAGAAACTGACTGCAGATATACTAAGTCATATGAGTTCTCCATCTGATGGCTTGCATAATAATTCTCAATGAAGTCTCAAAGATGCCCAAATCATACTTGGATTCCTTTGCGTGTTGCTGAAATTGTCAGAAAGATGTTATGTTCTTTGGCTCAACTTACTTTGGAGGTAGACCTCAGGTCATTCCTATTCAAACAATACTGCAGTTTCTTCCATCTACAGAAATTTACAAAAATCTCTTGACCTCTCTTATCCAAAATTGCTACGTATTTCTTTGTCCTGGCTAGAAGCAAAATTCTCTCACAGAGCTTTCTATACCATCTGTTTCCAGTTCTCTTTCCAGTTTCTCTTGAATCTAACCCCGTCCTGCCGCTGTCCTTGCAACCCTGACAAAACTCCTCTTGTCACGCTCACCACGGACCTTCAAAAGGCTCAAGCCAGTTGCTTCTCAGTCCTCATCGGCTCTGACATAAATGTTAGCATGCTGGACACAGTTTACCACTCCTTCCTTCCTCGGTAGGGTTTCTTTTCTTGTCTTCTAGGGCAGTTCCTCTCGAACAGTCCAGTGAGAACAAATCACTTGGAGAATCTTGTTAAAATGCAATTCTGATTCAGTGGGTCTGGGGTTGGGAGTCTGCACTTCTAGTTTCCCAGGGATGGAGATACTGCTGGTCCACGGACTGCACTTTGAGTAGCAAGGTTGTAGGACATTCCACTAGCTGCGTTTTGCTTTCCTTTGCTGCTTCCCGTTCTTTCTCCAGGCTTTCTGTTGGAGTTTCTTGGGTTTAGTCTTTGATCTCCTTCTCTTTTCTATGTGTATCTTTACTCTTGGCTCACCAAACCCTGTGGCTTTAAGCACCATCTATGTGTGTAGTGACTCCCAACTTTGTAGCTTGAGCCCAGACCTGTTTCCCAAGTGCCAGAATCTAAACACCAACTTTCTGCTGGACATCTCCAATTGGAGGTCCTATGGGCATCTCACCCTTAATCGGACTGAAACTTAACCCTGGGGTTCTCCTCCACACTTGCTCCTACCCGAAGTCCTCTCCACGTTAAGTTGACAGCAACACCATCTTCCAGTGGCTCAGGCCCAACACCTTAGAGTCAGTTGTGTTTGACTCCAAGACTGTCCTGCCTGAACTGCCGCCATCTCTCACCTCGATTCCTGCAACAACTTTTCACAAGCCTTCTTGCTCATGCTGTTAGCTCTCACGATCTCTTCTTAACCGAGTACCAAGAGTAATCATTTAAAGTATATTAGGGCCTATCAATATTCTCTGAAAGGCATTTCGGTGACCTCTCCTGTCACTCAGAGGAAAACAAAGGCTTAGACTAGGCTGTGAGGCCCTTCGCTATCTGGTTCAAGGGAACCTCTGTAACCTCTTCCCCTTCTGGTTCACTTTGGCCCACTGGGCAGGCATGTTCCCATCTTAGAGATTTGCCTCTAAAAGTTCCTTCTGCCAGATATATCACCTCAGATATAACTATTTGGCTTCCTACTCTCCTTCAAATGTTTGCGCAGATCTTATCTCCTTAATGAATGCCACCCCGAGCTTCCCTTTTAATACCACCATCTGCCCAGCACTCTGGGTTTCCCTTCTGTTGACTGTTTTTCATTTTGTTCCATAGCACTTATCATCCTCTGAATACCAGAGAGCTCCCTTTTTTGCTACTGTGTTTATTGTTTTTGTCTATCTCCCTGTTGAGCTTTGTCTTGTCCACGAGGACTCTTTGTGAGTTTGGTTCACAGATGGATTTTAAGTACCTGGAGCAGTGCCTGACCACATTGTAAGTCTACAGCGAAATATTTGTTGAATGATTTCAAGGAGTTTTCAATTGTACACTTTAGGTGGACTCTCACTGGACTAGAGTGCCTCTTGAGCACCCCCCCATGGGGGGACCTGGCCTGCAACCCAGGCATGTGCCCTGACTGGGAATTGAACCAGTGACTCTTTGGTTTACAGGCTGGCACTCAATCCACTGAGTTACAACAGCCAGGGTGCAATGTGCATAATTTTAAGGCATTGCAATGAGCTACCAAAATTATGCAGTATGATTTTCCATGTGAATATAGAGGCAATGTACAGACCCATATAAAACAGTTATATCATTAGGCATAACATAAGTACTAAAAGTGAATTATTATTATTTTCTAAATGGAGAAAGGTATCTAAATAGGTGTTTGTGATATCAAAAAAGGAAGAATGAGCATTTTACAAGCATCATAATGATTACAGAAAGTATAGTCTATACTTCCAAAAATAATGAAACAGACATTGAAATCTGGCTTAAATATTAAAAAGCAAACACATTTTCAAAGTCTAAAATTAAAGGTATGATTACAAAGTAAACAGACCAATTTTATATGTAATGTGCATAATTTTTAAAAAACATTTTATTTATTTATTTTTAGAGAGAGGAGAAAGGAAGGAGAAAGGGAGAGAAACATCAATGTGTGGCGCCTCTTGAGCGCCCCCCCCCCCATGGGGGGACCTGGCCTGCAACCCAGGCATGTGCCCTGACTGGGAATTGAACCAGTGACTCTTTGGTTTACAGGCTGGCACTCAATCCACTGAGCTATAACAGCCAGGGTGCAATGTGCATAATTTTAAGGCATTGCAATGAGCTACCAAAATTATGCAGTATGATTTTTCATTGTAATTCTGGAGATAGTATATGTTGAACAGTCTATTATCACAATCTAAGTCAAAAAGGATGCTCTGAATTCTTTACATTTTCTCTGTTCACTACCGCCAAACACCTCTTACTATTACCAAAGATCCTGTGTGGGATTTTTCTCCAGTTATCATTCTTCCGGATCTTCTAGTTATATATTGGAAGATTTGTTGATTATCAATTTTTTCTCTCCCTTATGAGCTTCATCTGCTCTGCACACTTAAATTGGAAAGAGGAGTTTTGGTTAGTTTGTATCCCACTATATTGTCTATATAAAGTGTTCTTACCTTCATAGAAGAAGATGACAGCAACAGATGGTAAGATTCATTTCTGGAATACCTAAAATCAAATGAGCTTTTAATACTTCCTATGGAAGTACTGCTACTTTCTGGGGAAGGATCACTACTTTCTGGGGAAGGATCACTTCTTTTTGGGGAGATATTCGGTGGCTCGGGGTCTTCTCCCTCAGAAGGATGTTGAACTTCAACAGAAGGCACCTCATATTTTTCAGTCGGTGTGAATTTCAGAGACAAATGCACACCCAGCTGTGTTGTTATCTCCTGGACGACATGTTTTAGTACTTGATGCTGTTCTTCATAATGTTCAGTTCTCATGTTTTTATCGGCTTTGGTCTAAAAGAGAATAACAAAGTATTGTTAACACAGAAAAAAACCGAACAAACCTTAATGACTGGAAAGGCAGTAGAGCCTTTAAAGGAGGAAAGAATGAAGGCCCTGAGATGAGACTGCAGGGGTTCAAATCCAGGTCCCCCCGCCCCCGCCCTGGAGGGCGTTACCGTAGCCTCTGCACCCTGAGGCCGATCCCCCCTCGGGGATCCCCCCACTGTTGTGCAACAGGGCCGCTCACCACACAGCCCAGAGGTGGTCGTGAGGATTCAGTGAGACAGCGCAGGTGAAGGGCAGAACGTAGCTTTTAAAAGTTAATATGTTCATAATTAAAGAGCAAGTGGCATAACAGATGCACAACATACTTCCACTCGTATGGAAACAGAGAAAGCGAATAAAGCTAACCCTTCCGGATGGCCCTTGGGCCAGGAACTCGTTTGTGTATTTCACACGTGTTAATTAAATTAAGTAGAGAGGCCTGGCTTCAGCCTTGACCTGTCTCTTAACCTTGACACTCTATTGCCTGTAAAACTAAAAACAAAATAAAATAAAAAAAGGAACCACCACATCCATACAGGGAAAATTACTGGGAACACAGACAAACCGCAGAGAACGTTTGCCCTTGAGCAGGGGGACTGTGAAATGAGAATGTAGAGTGGAAACATTTTTTTCTTTGCATCATCTGTTGTGCTGTTGGAACTTTTAAATTCTCCCCCCCCATTCATTTTTGCATGAGAACAAAAGAACTGAACGAATAACCTAGTTAAAAAGTATAACTTTCAACGAAGGCATTCCTTGCCAAGCTGGCTATCGGCAGGTGTCCGTGGGAGGGCTGTTGGTCTCCACAGTGATCCCCTGCAAGCCGCGGTGGTACTGGGAAGGGGACATTATCTGTGTCAGGGGCGTAGGCCCGATTTCATAGCACGCGCCGAGTGATTGTTCTGCGTAGGGACTGCTGCGGTCTGAATGTTCACGCACCCCTCTTCCCCAGACCCGTACGTGAAAACCCTGCTAAACATAGGGTGATATTAGGAGGGGGCGGGGCTGAGGGAGGAGCCTGCGTGGGTGAGGTCAGTGCTCTAATAAAAGCAGCCCCACGGAACCCCAACGCCCTTCCAGGAGCGAGCACGCAGGGGGTGTGTGTTCTAACGGGATCCTGCTAGCACTTTTTTTTCTCAGATTTCCAGCCTTCACGACTGGGAGAAACACATTTTTGTTGTTTCTCAGTTACCTCGCCTCTGGTATTTTGTTATAGCAGCCTGAACAGAGGAAGACAGGAAACCTGAAGTTACCATCTAACGGGAAAGACAAAAATGCATCTAAGTTTCTTTAAAGTAAGGCATGCTGGGAAAAGGGTTCCAAGTAAAGGGGGAGAAGAGTAACCTAACGGACTCACTTCCCTGGTTAAAATGTTTCAAAGTCTTTCCACTTCCTAGAAGATCAAGCCTAAACTAGACTTATTCCAGGTTACTCTGTCCTGATGGTCCTCCAGCCCTGTAGTCACCTTTCTTCTTTTACAGATGAAGCTGCTTCCCACCACAGGGTCCTTTTGTGCTTTCTGGAATGTTCTCTGACCCCCGCTCCTCCCCTCCCAGAACACAAACATTGTACACACTGATACACATCCTCTCACACACTTGCACGCGTGCATATTATTTCCCTCGCCCTGGTTAACCTGACTCCTGTTTCAGGTCCCAGCTTAAACAGCGGGGAGGCCTCTCCTGCTCCTACGGACGAACAAATCCATTTTCTATAAGCTCTCATGGCTCTTCTTTCACAGTAAGGCAAAATGAAAAACTTTCCCCTCTTAAAACTGCTTACTGAGTAGGTGTTCAGATGGCAAACTCCGTGAAGTCAAGGGCCCTGTCTGTCTTCCTCACATGCTGCTGTGGTGTCACCATTTAGTAAGTCGCTTGTCACATAGTAGATGCTAATAAAAAGTTATTCAATTTAATATGCAGATCCAATATAACTGATGATAGTAATGAATATTTGCCGAGTGCAAACGAGCCTGGCTGTTTACTCTCTAAGATCGTATCGGATTAGAATGGGGGCAGCACCAGCAGTCGTAGCGCCAAGGAGTCTATCTGGGGACTTGAGCCCATGCTCCATCAGCGCTGTTCCTCCGAGGCACCAAACAAACGTTTAGGCCCACGTCCCCATCTGCTTATTTTTCTAACCTTGATGCCAGAGCTCATTGGAAGGCACTGATCTGCTCTGAACTTATACATGGGTATTTCCAGTCTTCATTCTTCCCACTTTGTGCGAACACGGGCTCGCTCTGCTGCAGAAGTCTCGGTGTGTTTGGTTACGGGATGCTTCTCCTAGCTCCGCTGGGAGTGTAGGCAGCATACGTGGAAAATGCCACATCTCCTTTGTAAAATTCGGAACATTTGGAATGAGGAAGCACATCCGGGTCCAGGGTTGTAGGTAAGGAGCAACAGGGGGCTCACTCTCTCCATGTAGCTTTGAGAGCCGTCCCGGGCAGCTCTCCGGCCCTTAGCAGTTCCTACGCCCACAGAAGAGCTAAGTGTTTGGTCATAGTGAGTAAGACAGGACAACCGTATGATGCACACCTGAGAACTAAAAGCAAAATAAAACAGCACAAGAAGGTCCCTTCTTCCATCAGCAATCACAAGGGTCACCGTTTTTTTGTTATATCGTTTTCCAGAAAGGACATGTGTAATACTTTCTAGAAAGATTGTCAGTTTTCCTTCAAAAAAATGTGCTGAAAGGAAATAAATCTGGCAAGATGAGGAAAGATCAATAATTCAGAATGTCCCCTGAGATTTGTGGGCAACTGATTCTCTTCTGAATTTACAGATACAAAAAATATGACAATGTGGTTACATGGGAAAAGAATGCCAGTCAAATTGTCCAAACATGACAATCTTTAGTGTTTGTGGGAGAACATGATCATTTCAGGCTACAGTATGTAGGGGTTGGTTTTCCACATTGTTAGAAATAAAAGGAATATTAACTACACTTATTTAAAAGTATATGTGTTTCTCAAACTTATGGAAGTCACAGCAACACAAAAGGACTGTGTCATCAATGGAACTCTTTAAAGAAACAGATTATTTTAGCTCCTGGTTTAGAAAAGCTAATTATTAGTCTTTATTATACCCTGCTTAGACCAAGAAAGACATGTGTAAAGGCGACAAATATTAATCCTTTGAATGGGTCCAGTTCGTGGATGGTTCTAGAGAATTCAGGTGGCTTGCAGGAAGGTGGTAAGTTGGGGTGGCACAGCGGGAATGAAATTCACTTTGAGAAACAGTTTCATAAGAGCTCAGGGTTCGAAGTGAATGAAAATAGCCACCCACATTAGTCAGGCAAGCCTTACAAAGGGCAGTGTTGAAGGAAAACACGCGTACAATTTTCATCGATAGGCTAGCAAACACCAACCTTACATAGCACGAAAGTAGTGTACTCAATACTTAAATCAGCATGAATTAAATTTTTAGTTTTATCAGGACCTTAGAAGATTCTTTTTAAAAAAAGATTTTATTTATTTTTAGAGAGGGAAGGGAGGGAGAGAGAGAGAGAGAGAGAAACATCAATGTGCAGTTGCTGGGGGCCATAGCCTGCAACCTAGGCATGTACCCTGCCTAGGAATCAAACCTGCGATGCCTGGTTCGCAGCCCATGCTCAATCCACTGAGCTACGCCAGCCAGGGCAGAAGATTCTTTTAAGGACTCTAGGTAGTTGCCAAAACTCTACCACGAGGCAGGTGCATGCTACTGAGGGCTGCTTGTAGACTACTGCATGTTTTCCAAAGAGATCCACATTATACCTCCTCTTCGTTCAGTCAATCTTATATTCCCGTTACTGAATTCTCCGTATCATGTAGCATTCAACTTACCGACACCACTTTCAACTAAAAGCAGAAGAGAGAGTTTGCTTTCGGGAGACTTACTTCATAGACCAGAACAGCCAAGTTCCAGGGCCTGCGGTAGTAGGTCAAGGTGTTTCCATCCCAAACGCGGTCACAGAGGCCATTGTAGAACTCATTGTCGAAAGGTGTGCTTAGGGGAACCATCCCTAAGACGTTGACCCTGAGAATGGACACAGGAGCATCAGGTAGGGAGATTTCAGGAGCAAGTGCAAGGCAGCCCTCTGCAGCCGGGGAAAGAGAGAGCTTCGGCTCATGTCCCTATCACCCAATACATGTGTGACATGATCAGAAACAGAGGCAAGAGCCTATCCGGCCCTGCTCTGTGTCTCTGGTAGAAAGCATACCTTAGAAAGGCCTTGCAGACTCTTTTAGGCAACCAGGACACTGGCCAGCACAATGAAAGAAAGGCAATAAACATGGAGCCAGGGCCATCTGGCACCTGGAGTCCTAACTCATTGCTGTAACTCTGAACTAACCTCCCTTAGTGAACTAAGAGCCGATGGTATAATACCACCTATTTAAATTATTTGAGAACACAGTACCTCAGAAGGGGGCAGTATAACATACGCATGTAATTTTTAGCTTGTCAATCAACACTGGGGCTCTTTCTCTCCACTCTCTGTAAACCTAAGCCTTCTCCTCCAGTGGCCTCATGGTCTGCCTCATTCCCTCCAGGCTTATATTGTTCCTGTGTTTCTAAGAGGAACCCCCCAAATTTCAGCATCCTGGCATGGCATTCTCAGGAGTTCTACTCCCCAGCCCACTGCCAAAGTAGTTTTACTCGACAAGCTTTAGTTAGAGATAGGGACCTTGTTCAGCTTTAACAAGTTAAGTCTGATTTGTAGTTCTAAACATAATAGATAAATAAGAAGCAGTTCATTCTATGTGAAGTGCACCTTTGTTAATTGGAGGAAGTCGGTGCTGTCTAGGCTGTATCTGGAATGAATGGCCCTGGGCCAGGGAGGCCACAGGACCGAGGTTTTGGTCCTGACACCTGTAACTCAGTTTGACACAAAAGCATAAACTCCTCCATTGCTCTAGACCACACTCCTGACTCCCAGGAGCTGGAGTACAAATTCAGGCCATGATTTCAAGAGCAATTTGTCAAAGGTTGTGGATGACTTACTACAAACCCATTGCTAATAAATAATATTAGTAATAATCACAAAAGGGTGCCCTATCGCCAGTGGGTTGGTTAAAAACAACCTCTTTGGATAAACAGTGCACTCTTGATAAGCTTTGAATCTACAAAGAAAATGAACATTATAGCTCAACTTTAGTGTGAAGCAAATTAAGAAAGCAATTCATGTACATCTTGCTCACGGCTGACCGTATTAAATGAACTGTAGTTAAAATGGACCACTTCTCACTTTGTGGCTGAAAATTACATACCTATTAATTAAGGAAAACAAACAGGGCTCAGTATCAATTTTATTTCTACTTTATGTATACAGAAGTAAAAACCGGGAGACTTCACTCACATAAATAAGTAGATAAGAGCAGAACAATTTTGGCACAGCAGTGTCAGTCAGTTCTCTGATCTTCTGAGTTTTAGGCCAAGAAAAGATCACATACTAGTCTTTCATCAAAAATTATTTTTATAGTCCATTATCTGACAGTTAATTAGGATATCTTTAATGTTGTTGATAAAAAAAAAAACTTGGGACCACTTGACTTACAAAGTGTGAGAGTCCAACTGAGGACTAACATCTGGCGTTGTTTCTGTTTTTTTCTGCCCCACTGTACAGTCTGGGGTGGGGGGGGTGTAGTCTTCTTTTGGAAAGCGGGAGACAGGTGATTGCAAAGGGGAGGTGAGACAGAAGAGTGGGCTCAACAACTGGAAAGCCACTGCATCCTCAAGCTTATCAATTTTATGAAAAATATGTGCATATGGGATTGAGGAGTCACCATGCGTTGGATAGAATAAGTAACTGGGAGTTGAGGAAACGATGATCTTAAAATCTCTCAGTCTCCCTCCCCCTTGGAAAGTCTTTTTGCGCACGGTGATACCCACAACCCAGTTTGAAGGTTATTGCTTTACAGATCAGCGAGTTGACCAGTTGGCTAAATCCATCTGGAAAGTTTCAATGAAGCTGATCCACGGTCTAAAGCACAACTAAGGAAGAAATGTTTCATAACTTTTGACTTGGTTCCACTACTACAGAGACAGCCAGTCTAGTCTAGAATGAGCCAATTTTCTTTTCTGCCAAGAAACATGAAACTTCTCATAGATAGAATATCATTGCCTGGGAAATTTTTTTTTAAAAATGTGTTTTTTGGCAGCATTTACAGATGTGCATTTCCACACCTGCACCCAGAACCACAAGCAGCTCCATCTTACAGGTGAACTGCATGGAAAGGTCCCTCCACCTGAGTGTTGTTAGGCCTGGATCATGCACGAAAAGTCACTTCCTGCACGTCGTACACCATTCGCAGCTGGTTCGGGTATGTGTTTTCTTCGATGAATGCAAGATGGGTTGGGGCTTTCCTTAAACATTTCTGGAGACTCTCAGATGTCTACAAGGTATGAGGCTGAAACATTTGTGATAAACGTGAATTCTCCTGGCATGAGAATTTAAATGAGAGTCCTTAAAAAAAATAAGTAAATAAATAAATCCTTCAAATGTAAAAGGCGTATAAATTAATTACTATGAGTACTTGTCACTTTCATGTGTGTAAAAATCTGGATATGACTGTTGATAAGCCTTGGTGAGGTTTTCCAGACTGGATGGTGGAGAAGCAGTTCATATGCACGTTGCTATGATTAATTAGGATGTTAATGTCTATTACATTTATTTCACTATGGTCCCCTAGCCCTGTGTTTGCATAATGGAGATGCATAGTGTCCGCATATGTAGTATTAATGGTATGGAAGAATATCATAACTATAGCAAAACATGTTATTTGGAAGCCTATTCTTAAATATTCATTACTAATTTATACACTCCTCTATACTAATCAAATAGTTAGGTGAAAAGTGCTCCTTGAGTTTCATTTTCTAAAGCTAGTTTTGCTTTGAAGTTGGGGTGTCCACTGTGCTCTGGGCAGTGATGCGGGAGAGGTGACGAGGTGGTGACAGGCAAGTGGGAGGAAGAAAAAGGTAAGTGGCATGGTAGAAAAAAATACAAGCTTATGTAAGTCAGAGACACTTGGGTTTATGCTCCCTGTCCCCAATCCTGACCGTGGAAAAGCACGCGGTATTTACAGAGTCCTTGCCAGCTCCCTGGGATGCCTCGATAATGAACTCCCTGGCAAACTCTACATAACAAATTTTCTTTTCCCTGAACAAAGGAAACCAAAAAATTATAAATAATTGTTTTTCAGTTAAATGGGCCAAGATTTCTGTATCCCTTTTCTATAAGAAACCATGTAAATTTGCATTAAGTGAGAATACGTAACATATGTAACTCCCTGCCTCCAGTCCTTTTGTTTAGATTAGGAAGAAAACTGTTTCTTGGATCCCAAATCAAGCAAAATAAAGTAATAACGGGCTTTTTTCCACTCCCACTCTCTCCCTGGGGAAAGCAGCAAGAAGAGTCAGAACTCATTGGAGCATGCAGTGATCTGGTTATAAGGTTTCAGCCAACTCCCGCACCATTTCCGCCTGTTATTAGGAGGTCCTGCTGAGTCTGGAAGCCAAGATCATCCGTTTGATTCAACATTCCTACCTTTGGGCTTAGGGCCAACGGCACTGTGTGTAGTGTTTGGATGCCGCTTGCTTGGGAAGATTTTATATAGGGAATAAAAGGCATAGGAAATGCTTTATGCAGTGCCCGACTCTTGGTATTCGGTGCCCTGGAATTTTTCTCTTCTGTGACTGAAGTGGATGTTTCCTCCAGCAGAGAGAGAGGGTATCTCCATTTTCACAGAGGCCTTAGGAACTGTCTGGTTTCTAAGTGGAGGGCTTCCTAGCCTCAGTGCCCTTCACATTTTGGGGCGGGCTGTCCCGTGCATTGCAGGCCCTCTCACCGCCACCAGTCTCCTGTGCCGACACCCCAGAGCTGTGATCACCAAAACAGTCTTCAGACATCACCAACTACCCCCTGGGAGAACACCCCCTCTGGCTGAGAACCCCTACCAACCTTGCTCCTACCGTCATCCCCGGCTCCATTCCTCACCGCATCCCCGGGACAGGACGCAGGAGCCCTGAACAGCAAGTTCTTTCTAGGGACCCAGTTCCAGACTGACCTGATGCCAGGCAATAACATTTTCAAAAGCACCTACATTCATGAATGTATTCACCTACGTATGCACCCATCAGTATTTGTTAAGCGCCTGCTGTAAACCAGGCACTGGGATGATGAGGATGAAGAGCTACCTTGCTTTCGGGGGATGAAACAGAACTGGGCGCCATTTCTGTCAATATACTACTGGGTGCGGAACACTTACGTCTCTGCGGGGGATGGTGGGCCAACACAGCACCCAAGGGATCTTTTCTGCTCAGAACAATGCATGCAGACCATGCCGTGGGCATCCACAGGATGTCCTCGGACCATAGGGAACAGAACTGTGCAGGACTTCGGTCCTGGGTCATTTTGCCAACTCCTAGAACACACATTTCTGCAAACGGCATCTATTCTGTACAGCTCTGAGTTCTAGACCATCTGAGACTCTTCATCAGCGCGTACCTGGCCAGATGTTTGGTGTGGAAAGTGTGAAATCTCAGCTCTGTGATGGGAGCCACAGTCTCGACGACATCCCCAGCTGCCCTCAGAAGGGCTTTCTCTGTCCTTCTCCTCCGGGATCAGCCCCAGAATGCTGGAACCTTCTCAGAACTTCTACCCAGGAATAGGTCCAGGAGAAGTTCCGATGGAAGACAATCTCCCTGGCCATTCAGATGTTTGAATGGAGTTGCGAGACCTACTACTGGCAATTTAATTTTCAGTGGTAATGCGTGATTTCAACACTGCTATGGTCTTCCAGAGGCTCATAAATGAAGTATTTCATCTTCTTCTGCACTCAGAAGTAATTACCTAATTTCTTGGTAATCTAGCCCATTTTACAGACACCTACTGAGGTTAGGCAGTTTGTCCAAATTATCTTGAGATACTTACTCAGCGTGAAACCTCTTTCAAGCTCACACATAATTCAAGCAGAATACAGACCCACAGGCTACTCTTTCTACAAACTCAGACCCTGTGCCACTTGAGCATGGAGAGAGAGAGAGATTATTTTCGCTCGTCTTCCCCCTTCCCCCAGAACATTCACGGGGAATACTGACCCAAAGCCGGCCGTCCGCCCCAGCTCGGACTCCTCCACCACTCTGTCCCGGCAGGGTTTACGGGGATCGCCTTCACAGTCGTCCTCATCTGAAAAGTCTCCACAGTCATTATCGTCATTGCACTGAAGTCGCTTCTTTATGCACCTGCCTGCAATCAACATCAGGAAGACGCTGTGTGTCTGATGCCACGTTTTCTCTCTCTCAAGTTAGCAAAGGCAGTCGAATGCTGGAGTGCAGGGGACACACATACATCTGACTCCAGAATATACAGAGCATGTAGATGGCCCATTTGGGGGCCCCTCTCATGTTTGGAAACACGAGTGCCTAGAAGTGTGTTTTGTTCCTGTGTTCCACCCACGAGGGCACACGGAAACCCACGAGGAGTCAGAGCGCAGGGCTTACCTGTTCCACACTTAAAGTCATTGCCACAGTCCTCATCAGCGTCTTCACAGTTGTCGGAGGGCACACACATCCGTCTGTCTCCTAGACTGGCCAAGCACTTTTTCCCATTAAATTGTCCAAAGGCCTCAATTGTCCTGGAACGAAACTATACAAAACCAGCTGGAAATATTGGGATTTCTAAACCCCAAAGGGGTTATGATCTAAAATTTCACACACGCCTCCGCAGCCCTCCACACCCACATGGTCTCAAGGTGGGAGCCGCGAAAGCAGTCACGGCCGTTACTCAAAGGCCCACCTCCCACTCTAGGCTGGCAGTGTCTTCTAGAGAGGATGGGTCTCGTGGCACTCATGTAGCACGCGTGCAAAACCCAGATTACTCAGCAAGTGATCCCTATGAGATGTTTATTTTTCCTTCTCAGTTTGCAACTTGGTTGGAGGCTCCCTGCCTTACCGCATTTCCCTGGGGACGCTGGCAATACGGTTTCCATCTGGGGAAGTCAGCGGGGAATAGCGTTGAATGCTTACCGACTGTTTCAGGCAGGGGTCGCACGGCGACCATTCGCTCCAGGAGCTCAGTTTGCAGTCTATGGGCAGTGGAGGGCTCGTCACGTTTTTTGGCTTCGTGGGAGAACTGAGATGAGAGAACACGTCAACTTAGCGTGACCATCGCGTGTGCCTGTTTCCCAGTTAAATTTATTTGCTGTCTTTTCCCTTTCCAAATCATGCTACTTACCTTTTCATTCTCTCACTCATTACTTTGTCACTTTATCACACACCACTTTGTAATTTCAACTACCTTTTTGTTTCATTTTTGTACTGAATTGTAATTTAACTTTCAACCCAACAACAACCAAAAAGTAAGGGTGATGAGGAAAACTAGCTGGGCCTCCTGTTTGGTGTCTCACATGATTAGCCTTATATTTTAAGCGGGTTTATGAATTCACTGAAGCGACAAAACTTGTTTCTTTTGCACCCTGCTCCCCATTGCCTTCCTCTGCCCCGCTGTGACAGTCTGGCAAAGACTGGAGTTGCCTGGGTCTCCTGCAAACCTAAGGTAGCATCTGGGGCTCCGGCTGGCTTAGTCGTCCCAGAAGCAAGGGCCTTATCAACCAGGCTTTCCCACCCCTGCATTCCACACTTCCTAGACTGGAAGCCTTACCACTTCCTGTTCCGCTTCAGGACTCATTCCTCATCTTCCTGCATCTTAGCAGCATGTGTGTTGTCACTTACAACTTTCCCTTCCTTTCCCAGACCCAACGCTCAGCAGTGCTTTTCTGGCTTTGAACTTTTCTTTCTTTTTTGGTTCACCATTTGGATCTCTACTGGTTGTAACACCACCTGTCTCTCTCTCATTCAATGATGGGGGTGGGTGGGGGGGGGGTGGGGAGGCCAAAGCAGAAGCTACCAAACAAGAACTCTATCCACCTCCTGTTCCCACACCCCTGAGCTGGCGTCTCATCTTTGTGCAGTGCAGCCTCTTAGTCCAGGGGGCTGACCAGGTAAAACTGATCACTCCACGCAAGTCCTAGACCCCAGCTCCTCACTGAGACCTCGATCCATTGAATATCTCCTCCATTTAAAACTCTCCCTCATTTCCAGCTCCTTTCCATTGGCAATACATTGTGTTCAAGGCTTTGACATTAAACACAAGCAAGCAGATGCGTGAGCAAATGAAACACTCTTCCTGAACTTGACATTTTCTTTCAGCCACCCTCATCTCCCTTCACAGGGACGCTTAAAGAAATTGCCATAAACATATTTATCTTTCTCTCTCAACCAGAATAAAAATAGTTTCATCTCCTCCTGTAGCCATACATGGTCTGAGATACCTCCCAAATCCTCTCATCTTAGCCACCTTTCTTGGAAAGGTGCACCCTGGTCTCTCGTGTCTTACCTCCCCACCACGGCTCCACCCTCCCGCCTCAAGGACGCTATTCTCGCCAAAGTCAAGGATGACCTTCAGGGGCCTCCCTGGTTCCTTTCAGTCCTTATCTTGTTGACTTCTTCCCAGAGGTCGCTGTGACTGACCACTCTTGCTGTTTAAAAGACTCCCTTCCCTTGGACCGAATGGTTCCAGACTCCTTTCATTTCTCCTCTCTCCTCTGCCCTCTTTTCCAGCTCTTCTGTGCAGGCTCTTCCTCCTTTGATAGTCTCTGAAAAGCTGTTTTTCCTCAAAGTCCTGTGCTTGGGTATTTTTTTTTCTCTCCACACTTATTTCTATGTATATGCTAATGACACTCAGTGATAAGTCTGCAGTTCAGACATCTTTTCTGAATTTTAAACTGTTGGATGTAACTCCCGATGGCACATCTGCACTTGCATGTCTTTGTGGCTCAAAGAGCTCAACGGATCTCAAAACAAACTATTTTTTGCACTTCTCTCAAAGCTGCTCCTCCCCTGCGTTTAGTGTCTTGGTAAATAGCACTTCCACTTATACAGTCACGCTACCTAGAGGCTTGGGTGTTACTTGTGTTTTCCTGAATACCCCATGCTCATTTCCCAGATCTAATCAACCACTGAAGCCTGTTGTTCGCGGTCTCCTGAACGGCTGTCCAATCTATCCTTCCTTCATCTCATCTAGTGTAGACATTTCTCTGGTCTCTGCTAAGATTACATCTCTCCCACATGACCTAAGTTTCCTTCTAATCCAGTTTCCATAACACATCCAGAGGGATTTTTTTTTAAAGGCAAAGTTGATCATATCATTCCTCTACTGAACACCTTTCAGTGACTTCCCTTTTGCTTTTAAGATAAAGTTCCAATTTCCCAACACAGTGTGACAGGCAGAGTAATGACCCCAAGGTGTCCCAATCCCCAGAATTTGTGACTATGTTGCTTTACACAGAAAAGGGACTCTGCAGATGTGATTAAGAGGAGATGAATTATTTGGGCGGGCCCATTCCAAGCGTGTGAGCTCAGAAGCAGGAGAGTGGTTCAGAGGGGTGTGAAGACAGGAGAAGAGGCAGGCAGAGCTCGAAGTAAGAGAAGGGACTGCACTGAGTGTTTCTGGCTCTGAAGATGGATGGAGGCCACAAGCCAAGAAACTGAGGCAGCTTCTGAGAACTGGAAGGAGCAAGAAAATGAATTCTCCCCTAGAGCCTCCAGAAAGGAGCACAGCCCCGCTGGCACCTGGAATTTAGTCCAGTGAGACCCATTTCAGACTTCTGACTAATAGAATTGTAAGATAATACATTTGTGTTTTTTAAGTCACTAATATGTGGTCATTTCTTACAGCTGCAATAGGAAAATAAGACACATGGTCTAGAGCAGGGGTCCCCGACTTCTGGGCTATGGACCATACTGGTCGGTGGCCTGGTGGGAACCGAGAGGCACAGCCCAGGGGGAGCTTGAATGGAATGCACTTGATTCATCTCCAAACCATCATCTCCTCACCCTCCCTCCCGCCACCCATCTGTGGAAAAATTGTCTTCCACAAAACCAGTCCCTGGTGCAAAAAATGTTGGGAATTGCTGGTCTAGAGAACTGTACGCGGCTGTATCTCCTTACTTCTTCAACTTCATGTTTCTCCATAGAATTTACAGCCCCAAAGAACTTGACATTTCCAAGATAAGCACTTTTTCTCATACCTTCAGACCTTTAAAAGGCCTTTTTTTAAAAAGATTTTATTTATTTTTAGAGAGAGGAAGGGAAGGAAAGAAGGAGAGAAATGTCAATGTGTGGTTACCTCTCCCATGCCCCCTACTGGGGACATGGCCCACAAGCCCGGCATGTGCCCTGACTGGGAATCGAACTTGAGACCCTTTGGTTTGTAGGCGCTCAATCCATTGTGTCATACCAGCCATGGCTAAACCTATTATTTCTGATTTCCCATACTAATGTCATCTTGGACATATATTTTTGCCCCTGAGAACCTTCTTTAACTTCTGGTATAATTTACTTTTCTGTGTACATATTCCTATAGCGTCTTGTTTTTCTCTATATCTTAAACTCTTTCATAATGATATATGCACATGGGTCTGTCCAAAAGGTATCCAGCCATGTTATATGAAAATTAGGGATTTTTTTAAAGAAGATACAAGACACAAGAAACATTGTACATAAGACAATGATGCCTCAAGTTCACTTCAAAGTAGGTACTTGGTATCTCACATAGTTCTCCCAATTGCCATTAACTGCTCCATTGCATTTTCCTGAATCTCATGGATGGTCTAAATCTCTTCCCTTTCAAAGGTGATTTTAGTTTTGGGAAAAGCCAGAAGTCACGGGGCACCAAATCTGGGCTGTAGGGGGCTGAGTCACCTGGGTGACCTGATATTTCTCCAAAAATCTCTGCACCAGACGTGATGCATGAGTGGGTGTGCTGTCATGGTGAAGTTGTCAGTCACCAGTTGCCCATAACTGTGGCCTTCTGAATCATCCAAATAGTTTCCGTGGAGGAATGTTCAAGTTTAACGTAAAATTTGATGCAGATTCACAGTCATTTTGAATGCGATGCCCTCACAGTACACATGCTCACTCAGCAGCATCTATCACCCGCACTGACTAGTACAGTGAAGTTGTCATTGTTCATGCATGTGCATTCCAGTCCACTCTCGTTGGCTGCCAGGTTACATTGATGTTGCACAAACTGTTCTCACTATATTAACAATGACTGGACTTTTTCTGGAGACCTCATATATCATTTAATTAATTTATTCTCACCCATTTATCCATTCATTTATTAATTCATCAAATATTTATTAATTGTCTATAACTTGCTAGGCATTAAAGACACAGTGGCATGCAAAACAGCAAAACAAGATAAAACAAAAACCATGATCCCCATACTAACAGAGCTCATGTTCTAGAAAACAATATCAGTGAGTTAAGGAACTTTTAAATCTTGTTCACATTGCATGTACCAAGTGCCTAGAATGTAGTAAGTGTTCAGTAAATTTCTTTAAGCCAATCAGTGAACTTCAGAAAAGGGAAATCCTTCATCATTTTGTCTTGGGTAGTCTTTTATTTCTCTAGGTTATGCTCTCATGGTGAACCACCCACCTGTATTTATGCAAAAATCACTAGGCATTATTAAGTTTGGCTCTATGATTGGAGACAACATTTTTGTAGGCCTGACACTTGCCTATACCATCCAGAAAATCGGGAGTCCTGAAAAGCATCAGTCCTTTAAAAGTACAGATTAAAATATATTACACAGGCTGCCAAAACTCCTTGAAGAATCTGCTTTCCTGGAAGTCTGATGATTAGTGTATATCTGAAACCACATGACTGAGAAATTATCTGCTAGAACTTTTCCATAAAACTAAGGTGGCATCTAGAACTGACAGGCCTCATCAAGGGTCAATAGCAGAATCCCCTGTATGACCTATAGCATTGGTTTTCAATATCGGTAGCATTTTATATCCCTCAGATATTAAACATAGGGATTATAAAATTGTGATCCTTACTCCAAATCAGTTAAATCAGGCCTTCTGAGGACCAGCTTTAGGCAGCAAACTTTTTAAAAGGTATGCCAGGGGATTCCCATGTTCACACAATGGTGAGAAACACCAGCTGGTAACACCTGGTGGATACCCACGCTGTCTGATGGGGTGTTCTTTAAGTGGGAGTGTTCATTCCATCAAAATAACCCAAGGCTGAGGCCACAAAGGAGCTGGACCACAGTTGTTT